ATATATATATATATATGCTAAGAAATGAGTAGATTATTAAAGCTAGAATAAAAATAATATTTTCCTAGTTTTATTTTTTAATTTATGTTATACATCGGTTCGTTGGTTGGTGGATTTTGTTATGGTAAAGACAGCAAGGTTCAAGGCCCATTGTTCAGGCCACAAGCAGACTGCAGAAAGGTCCCTCACCCGAACCCAGCTCCATAACTGAGCTTTGCATACCAGTATCTTCATTCCAGGGCTTTTGGAAATTAGCTGCTTTCTGGTAGCAATGACTATGGACACACCAGAGAGAGCTAAACTATCTTTTAGAGCAAAAAACTAGACACAGTCTGACTGGGGAGGACGGGGGGTCTGCTTTTAAAATGAGAAAGCTGAAGCCCACAGTTAAATAACTCCCATGAACATGTAGCAAGGACTGACACACATGAAGATCTAATCTGAGCTAATTCTAGAACCTTGAAATGTAACAAAAACTTAGATTTGGAGTGTGTGTTTAACAAAGGTAAACTCAGATATTACCCTTGTTCAGAGTGTGAGACTCAAACATAATTTAAAATATAACTAACAAGTATTTTTTATCACCTAAAAGCTTTAAAACAAGTTACATACAAAAGAAAAGAACAACAGATGCTATCCTCGGAAAGTAATCAAAAATTCCTGCAGGGTAATAATTCCTACTCTCATTCTCAGAAGTGCCACCACACCTACCCTGTTTGCCAGGCTTTTTGTGCTCCTCAGACTATTTCCAACCAAGAGATTGAGACTTCATACATCCAAAACGGGATGGTGGCAACAAAATGTATATGCCGAAGTGTTAAATTAGAAAGGCTTATTTTTCTCACACAGTCACATATGGCACTATGCATATGTAAATACTGGAGATGAATCAGTGCTCAGACCAAACTCCAGATAGCTCTGATACTACAGACTGTAGCACCACAGCCCTCCAAGAAGAGGGCTCTGATGAAAGGGTAAGGGATGCAGGTGCAAACGGAAAATAATTTGGTTGATTGCCTTATCACCATCACTATTTATGAAATACTTCTTAACGTGGCTTCAAGCAGAAACAGAAATGTTTTCAATTTGGAAGTTGAAATTGCCTCAGTCGCAGTTTACCTAAGCTGCCTACCATCACTCAGATAGTAATATGTCTCCTTTTTTTTTTTTTAACATGGCCATCCATCCCTGCCTTTCGTAGCACAGACTATAAAATGACAAGTTAAAATAATAACAACAGGCTTTGATTGTCCCTGGTAGGCTACAACTAAAATGCAAAAACAAAATGAAAAACCATTGGGGGAGGCATTTTCAACTTTCAATACTGTGCAATTCATGTTTAAATTTATCATCTAGATCTCATCTCATGACCTTGAAAAAGCTCAATATTTAAATTGTAAAATGTAAATTCCAGCCCATCTCCCCAAAGCATTCAATGATGAATTATGTGAAGGGAAACATTATACAAAATAGAATGCTCCAGAAACAGGATTTTGTAATTAACCCATATTTTTCCGAACTCCTTTGTGCTTTCTACTCCTGTCATTAGGAATCGTCTAAAAATCAGTTCTTTTCCCAACCTTGGTGTTCAGAATATAACTGAAATTTTCTTGGCTGAATGAATTCACCCCTTGTGGGTTAATCTGGCATTTTGGAGTCAGGCATTAGTCCACGTTACTGCAAGAGTAGAAAGTATAATAGTACATGAGAGTGTTGACACCACAAGCATCCTAGAAGGTGCATTTTTCAATTTTATTCCTGGCACAAACACTTTCTCTTCTGATTGACCCCTTCCTCTAAAAGCCTAAATTAAGGGATGATTGAGTGTGAGTGGGTTAAAAGATGAAGAACATGTCTAGCAAGACTCTCAAAGTCTCAAAGTTCCATTAAGGACCGAACTACTAATACTCTTCATGTTAACCTTCTAAAAAATTATTATTACTGCATATTTGATGTGAACCTTTTTGAAGGCAGTGGTTCTTCTTGTCTCAACCTTACTAGCTTTGCCATAATAATACAAGTGGGTCGTGCTAAGAACTGAACTGTATCACTTCAAAATTCATTTGTTGAAGTCCTGACTACTACTGTGATGGTATTTAGAGATGGGGCCTCTGGGGGGTAATTAGGTTTAGATAAGGTCATGATGGTGGAACCCTCAGAATGAGAGTTGTATAACTATAAGAGAGACAAAAGAGCTGGCTTGCTCTCTGTGACCCAGCACTTGTGCACAGAGGAGGATGTCACATAAGCACACAGAGGGATGACCATGGTCTGCAAACTAGAAGAAAAGACCTTACCAGAACTAACATACTGGCACCCTGATACTGGACTTCAGTCTCCAGAACTGTAAGAAAATAAATTTTTGTTGTTCAAGCCACCAGGTCTCTGGTATTTTGTTATGGCAGAAGCTAAGACAAGTGGACATGCCTATTTTGGGAAACAATGGGCCCTACCATGGCTGGAGATACCACCAGGAGTGCAGACTGTGGGCTGGACATATGTTCACTGCAGTTTTGCTGCACCTGGGCCCTGCTCCTATCTTTCAATTTACACTTACACTCTCCACACCTTCACAGCACATGGTAAGATGACACAGATTAAATGAAGAGATCACTGGCCTCCAGCAAAGAGTAACTTAAGAGAAAAAGAAAACTGCTAAATTCCACTCTAGAAGTCAGGCCTGTCCATTTCCTACTTTGGAAAATCTGATGCGTTCTACTTGGCTCTATATGGTTTCATTAGGTTGGGGCTTATGCAAGTTTGAGATGCAGCGCTCAGTTTACCAGCTGTCCCTGGTCAAAAGTGAAGGCGTTCTCAGACAGCAGTTTCCAATAACCTAACAGTTTTCCCCTGCTGTTAAAAAAAAAAATTAGAAGAATAAAAAGTCAATGCCACGCACAAAGTACAGAGATGGAAATGAAAGCTCTCCCTAGTGCTGCAATATGTTTTTTAATAAAACTGATTTGGATCAATTTGAGATAACTGCTGGGAGTACAAGCTTTTACTTTCAGATACGTCATTTGTTTTCATCTCTGATCTGAGCTCAAAAGGAACACTGCCAGTGTTTTTCCAGTGGTGAGTACAGTTCTAGAAGAGTTAAAATAAGAAACCCTCCCTGCTTAATCTGCCAGAAAACACATGAGAGGAGCAATCAGCTCTGAGAAGAGTTGCTCTGAATGAGGTACGCCTGGCTGCTTCGGGCCATGCTGTTTGTCAGTCTTTGAAAATTCAAGTCATTACCAGATGCTGATCTGCTATAATATTGTGATATTTTATCTGATTACACTTACCTGATTGTGCCTTATCTGCTATTTGCCTTCCCATTCTTCCATGTATATTAAATGCAGGTGCTTTTATTATTCTGAGAGCTCAAAAGTGTTGACTGTTCTGAATATAAATGGGGATATTATATCATTAACTTGCTCCAAAAGCAGGGCCATTCACTGTGTAAATCACATGCCAGGTACCTAGTGGAGACACAATAAACCATAACTTCTTCAGAAAGAAAGCAATGAGGAATGGATAAGGAGATAAAAATTTAAAGCATTGTTAAAGAGGGGTAATCTTCAAAATCCTATTTCAAACTAGCATTTGTTGATAATACAGCCTTTATATTAGAAACATTTTTAAATTCATAAAAAATATTTTTGGGGAGCTGGACAATATGGAATACTATCACTAGTAAGACTGCATTAAAACACGATCAGTGACACACTATGTCTTGTCTAACTTAGGAGAACATTATGAAGGGAGCAGTCCAATCTTTTAGAGAAGTATTCTTTGCTTTGGCAAATATGTTCTTACCCTACCCAGGTGTACTGTTCAAGCAAGGTGAACAAATGGCCAAATGTTCTCAGTACTTGCAGACATTTAAAGGTGAATAATTTAGAATCTGGTCGCAAATTTCAAAGGAAGCAATATGCAGTGAATTAAGGCAGAACTATGACCATGTGCAGCTGCCTAACAGTCTGGAGTTACACGCTCTGCTTAGCTTCCACTGCACTGGCCCCACCAGAAGTTAATCCACAGTTACTTAAGTGGAAAGCATCAGGAAATCCACCTTCAGAGCAAATGTTACGTGAGAATTTAAATGAGCCACTGCTCTCAGTTGGACAGAGTATCAGGCGGCCTGCTCCTCCACCGACGCATGAGACCCCTCCGCTGATGGAGGAGCTGAGATCCAAGCCTCAAGAAGGAACACAGTGACAGTCACTGCCTAAGGAGCAAGGCCGGGGTCGTCTTCTGTCAGATCTGAAGGTGTGAGACTGAAGAGAGCACTCGTGGAGACACCCGGGAACACGAAGAGGGACGCAGCCCCCGGAAGTTGTGGGTTCTGCGCAAGGAGACGGCACGGGCGTGGGCGCTGCTCCTCTCTCCCTCCCGCCTCTCACACAGAAGGACGCCGAAGTCTGCCTTTGCCTTCCTCTCCCTACATCGATGTATGTTTAAGCACCTCTCTGCGTCAGGGTTTCTATTTTATCAGCGGAATCTTTATTCCCTTAAACCACATGACTGAAAACAAAACCTAACTATGGAAAATGATCTCATCGTTTGGGTAGTCCATAGTTTCTCAGAAAAGACATTTAATAGGATTTTCACAAAAATTGATTAAATTTCATGTATTTGTTCATATATAAAAGTAATTTAACTGGATATTACTTTACATTGTTTAGAAGACCTATTCTTAAAAATCTGTAAAAATGAAAAAAAATATATATGCTGAACATAAACATAAATCTATTTCGCCTTTAGACAAAAGCAAAGGAGACTATGTTCTCAGGTCACAGAAAGCAACAGCCATAAAGGGGGAAAAAAAAGATAAATTAGACTCTATCAAAATTTAAAACTTCCAATCATCAAAAGACACCATTAAGAAAATTAGAGGTTTGGGCCGGGGATTTAGCTCAGCGGTTCGGTGGCCTGCCTTGCAAGTGAAAGGACCTGAGTTCAATCCCTGGTACCAAAAAAAGAAAGAAAATTAAAGGTTAGGCATGGTGGTTCCTGCCCGTAAATCCAAGCACTCTGGAAGGCTGAGGCAGGAGGATCCCAAATTTGAGCCAAGAGTAGACTTAGCAAAAACAAACAAACAAACAAACAAGCAGAAATAAGTGAGAATGAGAGCTGGGGATCTAGCTCAGTGGTGCTGCAGCCTGCCTCGCAAATGCAAGGTCCAGAGTTCAATCCCCTGTACCCCCCCCAAAAAAAAGTGGGAATGGACCACCTCTGAGAGAGAGTGGAAGGAGGAGGAGGGGAGGGGAGAGGAAGGAGTGACCGGAGGGAAAAGGAAAAGAGGGAAGCTACAGATTTGGAAAAACCATTGCCAAAACATATATCTAAACAGGACTGTAAACAAGATAAGGAAAAATACAATAACAAAAATACAAACAACCCAAGTAAAAGATAGGCAAAAGATTCAGAGTTAAAAACAAACATGCACCAGCGGCCGAGGATGTAGTTCAGAGGCACCGTGCCTGCCTCACCAGGGCAAGGTCCTGAGTTCCACCCCTGGTACAAAATAAATAAATCAATAAATGCCCCAAGGTATGGTGGTGTACTCAGGAAGGCTAAGGCAGAAGGGCCACAAATTCAAGCTCAGCCTAGGCAATTTAGCAAGTTGGTGAGACCCTGTCTCAAATATTTAAAAATTTAAAAAGGGGATGGGAGTGTGGCTCAGCGAGAAGATACTGGGTTCGTTCTCCAGTACTGCAAAATAGATAAATGAATGAATAAATTAATATGTATGCACACGTGGCCAATGAGCACATGATTCAGTGTCGAACAGCATGCATCACTATTATGCTTGACATCTGGACGTCCCCCCAAAGCTTCATGTATTTAAAGGTGGGATTTTTGAAGGGTGATTGAACCGTGGGGGTGCTAGAGATAAGCGCGATTTTAGACGAGGCAGGGCATTCAAGTGTGAGCCGGTAGGGTATATCTCACTTCCGTGCTCCTCCGTTCACTCTGCTTTCTGGTCACCACGGTATCAGAAGCTTTTCCTCTGCTGTGCCTCTCTGTCCTGCCTTCCTGCCTTGGAGTCAGCCAACTACAGGCTGAAAACTTGAGCCAAAATAAACCTCTTCTCCTTCAAGTGTGGGGGTCAGGTGTTCAGCAACAAGAAAAGTGACTGAGGAAATGAGACTAAAAACAGAAGATACCATTACAGTCACCAGAATGGCCACAGCTGTGGACATCATCCGAAGTGGGCAAAGTGGCAGAGCGCGTGGTTCAACACTGGTGGGGGTAGGGTAACTGTCACAACCGCTGGACAGTTTCTTTCAAAACAAAATGTACACCTTTCCTGTGAATAGCAGCAGTGCCACAAGTAGGTATTTACCCAAGATAAATGAAATATGTTCACCGAAGACTTGTGCAAGAATGTTCACCGTCACTTTATTCAAATGGCCAAAACCAGAAACAATCCCAGTGGCTATCAATAGGAGAAAGGATAAACTGTGATAAGCAATCAAATAAGCACACGAGACAAACATGAATAAATCTCACAAATGCTATACAAAGTGACAGAAGTCTTTCCCCAAGAGGAAATACTGCATGGGATCGCTTACAAAGTGAATTTAAGTGACTATGTATGGTAGCAAACTTCCTGCTTGGTTATCTTATAAGTTTTCAATTATAACTGCAGCAGAGACTTAATTGCTTAGTTCTTAGAAATGCCTCCAACAACATTCAATTTACTAAGCTCCAAAAAGTAGGAATGTCTGCCTTTTTACTGGATTAGAAGTATCTAGCATAGGATAGCTATGATTAGAAGTATCTGGTATAGAATAGGTGATAAGTATTTGTGGAATACACTTTATCACAAATAATTCTTTTTTTTTTGGTACCGGGGATCAAACTCGGGTCCTTGCGCTTGCAAGACAGGAAGTAGAACAAATAATTCTTAATCAGGTGATTTCAATGCTTTCCAAATTGAGATATAATAAAAGCAATACTAATGCTTGTGTCCAAACTGGCCCTAAGCTAAGCATAGATAATGTAAGCTATGTAACTCAATTTATTTGAACATAACTATGGTATATAATAAAACTGAATTCCAATAATTCACGTACTTCATTGATCAAAAATTTAGTTGGGCATCAAAATTATTTGAGTTTTCTAAAAAACAGATTTCTGACAACAGATTCTGATTCAGCAATTCCATTCCTTAGTCTTTAAAGGATCCTCACATAATTTTAGCACATAACTAGGTTTGGCAGTCAATAATCTGATTCATTTCTTTTCAACTACTTCCAATATATCTTCCAAAAAAATGGCAAGAGAAGTAGCCTTGCAGTTTAGTGTGCACAGCAAGCACTATTCAAGTTACACCATTTAGATCACACAACTCTTTCAGGTATTGCTGACCCTACCATACAATTTGGAAAATTGAGTCTAGGCAATCTTAAGTAATCTTGTCCAAATTCATTAGAGATAGCAGTAGAAGAACCAAGACTAGAAACCAGATGGGTCAACAAAGCTACTACAATACCATGAAACTTCCAGTCAATAAGGGGATAAATTTCTGGATAAGTTTATCTAGCATTATAGATAGTAGTAACTTTGATATTTTATAATTTCTTACTTAAATGCCTGCAGCCCCTCAACCAACGTCTTGTTCTAGAGCAGGAATGGCGAACCTTTTAGAGCTTTCAATGGCACAAACAGCCCAATGTAGCAGTCTGCCACTGTTCTAGCATCAGTGATTTCACCCTCTTTATACAGCGTCAAGTTTCTGTGTGTGACAGCGACACAAAGAGACAGAGACAAACTTCTAGGTCTCTGTTCCCTGGGCCTGGACTGCACCTAGACTGCTCCATATTAGATCTTCCAGTCACTCTCCAAGTGATTGCTCCACACTGAGTATTGCAATCTCTCTCTCTCTCTCTCTCTCTCTCTCTCTCTCTCTCTCTCAGACACACACACACACACACACACACACACACACAGAATGTCTAAATACTTGACTATTAAAACATATTTTAAGCAAATCACCATTTGCTTCACTGCTAGAAAAAAGAATTCTTGGTCAGATCAATAAAAAATTACTACCTCTTTCTGATTATCTGGGCTTTAGGTCTCTCGCACTGTTTTTAGGTTTCGAGATTAAGCTCATATAATACAGCTTGCCACACACAGACAAAAAAATGTTTTATTAAAATCTCTGTGTTGCCTATTGTTGTACATACAGTTAGGATCTTCTGTTAAGGAGAGTTGGGAGTGGGAATAAGGTGTTTTGAATTTTAAAATCCCTATCTTTCATTGTGAGTTCATAACAAGGACTTGGAACACCTGAGTATTCTATTCTACACTCTCAAAGTGCCTCTCTTCGCAGAGTGCTCAAGACATCTTTTTGTATATCCTACTCAAAAGACATGTCTCTTAGCCTTGCACTTCATTTACCATCTGAAAGATCAGATCATCCTATGCAAAATTCCTTTTGTGTCCAACTGGCTTCTTTTATTCTAGATATCTCCACTTCAAGAGGTATCGCTGCACATAATGGCCTACTATTATAACACATTGGAGAAATGTAAGCCTTAATCTGATGTAACAGCCTTTGTGATTTTTTTCATTAGCAAATATGAGAAATGCCAAGTAACAAAATAAAACAAAACAAACAACAACAAAAAGGATATTCCTATCAATAGTGCAAGTCCGTAAGCAGGGAGAACACTTTGAAGGAAGCAGCAGATGTCAGAGAGCCATTTGGCTTCATCCAAGACTCTCCATCCCAAGATAGTATTTCTTCTATAGTTGTTTATTCCCCTGTCAAGTGACACACTAAAATAAGAATTGTTTAAAAGAATACCTCGAAGGGATGGGGATGTAGCCCAGTGGCACAGCACCTGCCTGGCAAGCGCAAGGTCCTAAGTTCAATTCTTGGTTCCGGAAAAAAAAAAAAAAAAAAAAAACTGGGTTTTCCAAATGTAAAATTTAAAAACTATACAAAGCATTATAATGAGGCAAACACTATCTGATGATTGTTAAAAATGTGAGATAATTTAAAGCTGTACTTAACTTCTAACCACTTTGCCTTCACCTACCAAAAAGATAATGGCATCTCCCAGACCATTTCTACGAATTTTCTACCAATCTTATTCTTTGCAGAGACGGACAAGTGACTGTAGGGATTAATATAGCTGAAGGTACAAGTCATAGTCACTTGCTTCTTTCTAGCTCCTCCTTGCTCATTCATATAGTTGGGAATGTTGACAAGTTCCAATGAGGGAAACAGAAAGTATTAGACAATATAACCATTAAACTGCCAGCAGTTTTTAGTTCCTGTGGCACACTTACTGGAGAAACATGGCAAGGACTGGCAATGTTTTTAGTTACCAAACTCATGCTTTTAGACAAGTTTATATATCAATTAACTTGCATAAAAGCCTAACTATGCATATATGTGAAATATTAAAGGTGTTGCAAAACAGTCTTATAAATATGCCATAAATGAAACAAAAGGCTGCCAAATATTTAACTGGCAAGGTTTCACTGATGAAATCTGTATTCCTTTCTCATCTCATGACATCATGTTAAGTTAAGCTCATTAAACACTCATGGCAAATTTCTGCGACAGCAAGGTAAGGGGTAAAGTTCCCTAGAAGGGAAACAAGGTCACCCCTCCCCATTTCCCACGTAAAACGCAATGTACCCTTATACACCAAAGCTCAGTTGCTGCCCTGTTAGTCTTCCTTAGTCTGTAAAAATTTCAAGATCTCTAGGGACTCACGGAAATCTAATGGTCTAGGGTAGAAAACACATTGAGTCTTCTTAAAAGTCAAAAGCTGAGTAGCTATTTGCTCACAAACAAACTCATCCATTTAGAGACTGATCTCCGCCAAATGCTCTGTGATTCTGTTACTCTGCTATTTATGAGCAGCGTGGTGGCATCTCAGTTCAGAAATTACCAACCAGTCAGCACTGATGGGTACATATTTCTCATGCTCACTCAGTGGTAAGACACATATATAATAAATTTAGGGAAAACTTTATCTTTTTCAGTTAGAGTCAAAATAACTGCTGATGCCATGATTGGCTACAAAAGCTATTCCTGGGTAAAAGGGAAAACGACCCACTGCAAAAAAGAATTTCAATATTAACCCTCTGACAAGAACAGAAAGGAACTAGTGAGAAAAAAAGAAACTGTTCCATGACTGAGAAAATGTTTCTAAATATTTTTATATTCCTCTAAATTTGTTCCCCAGGGGAAAACAGCAACAGAGTAATGGCCCACATGTCCATTTAATTAAAAAAAAAAAACTTTTAAATCAACTTATTTTACTTTTATGGTTGCAAATAGGAGTTATTAACCATCTGCCTTTGTGTTATTTAAATATTATACAAATAAATGTTATTTTACAACCAGAAAACCTCTTATTCATAGAATTGGATATTTATTCCCCAATAATTTTTCTCTTCTGTTTAATAAGGGCCAAAAGCTGCCATCAATTCAAGTCTTTTTCAAATTCATTACCTACTAGTAAGAAAAACAGACAACAATATAGTATTTCATTGCAAATGAAGAAGGCTTTAAAGAGATTTTTTTTGAATTTACTAACATCATTAATATCCCCTTTTGAGACAATAATTAAGAGGAAAAACTGATGACCTACAGCAAAACTCCCACTGCTGGGGCAAATGAGGGTAACCACCAGATGAGAGCTCCACTAATGTGTGTCTGTAGGCGAATACCCTCCTGCATAAGAACAGAACGTGACTAAGTGAATATTTTACTTTTCCACGTCTTCAAAACACACAATGCGTGTAACTCTGGAATTGTACAGTCATATAAAGAACAGTTATTTGCCATGTTGGACAGAGAATGAAGGAAATATAGGATAAATGAGATACAGAGAAGGCTTGAAAACTTCCAAAGAGACTACATTTTGCCTACATTTATTAAGATTCGACAAACACTCTAAAGAAGAAATGTCAGAATAAACAAGCCAAAGGAAACTTTTCATGGAGAAGAACTCTGATGGCACTGTAAACTCAAGTTATGCATATTACTGTCTTGGGTACTTGTAGCCAAAGGCCAGTGTGATAGGGTCTAAA